ACTAGAACAGCTCATGCTAATTAAAACCTTCTTTGGCTCATCCAAACCCACTGTTCTGCATCTGAGGACGAGTTAATTGACAGTGAGATTAAGCAGGATGAGATTATGGGAAAGAAAAAAAGCACTGACAAGCTTTAAAAAATCTTTATGAACATTCTTTTTTAAATTGAGGCCAGAGCTCCCATCTTTCTAAGAAGAGTTCTGAAGCAAGCTTGCAAACTGGTCCACTCCATTAACCTCTCCTCTGGGTTAGTGACAACAGATGTCAGTCTTGAGTTTTCTCTCTTGTGTCCCGCATCCAGGCCATCAGATCCATCTTCACTAGCTATTCAGAATTGGGCCACCGCCCTGGTCCAAGGCACTGCCATCTCCCGCCTGCTCTATAGCCAAAGACTCTTACCTGAACTCTTCGCTGTACCTGCACCCCTTCACAATCTGTGTCACACCCAGCAGCCAAAGTGATCCCATTCAACCTAAAAGCTCAGTGGCTTTTCTTGTCACCCAAGAATAACACCTGCGTGGCCCCCATCCCCCTCCCCACCACACACACACACACACACACACACACACACACACACACACACGCTGATTTCTGTCCTGTTTGCCCAGCACACACAGAAGCGGGCCCTTGGCCCTCTCTGTTCATCTGCCTGCAATGTTTTCCATCCCAATCCTTACACATTCTCCCTCACTGCCTCCAGGACTTTGTTCCGCCATCACCCCAGTGAACACTCCCCCAGCCATTCCATCTACAGTTTCAACATTGAGCCACACCCTCTCCCCATCAGGCACATTAAGATCCGTACACCCTTCGTACCCCCATTCCTTGTCCTCTTCTCCTCTTTAGAGCTTAACACTTCATAACACATTTTGCTTGTTTGTCTTGTTTAATTTTCAGTCTCCCCATCAGAATGTAAGTTCCATGAGGACAAGGATTTGGGTCACTTCATTCAAGGCTATGTCCTCCATTATGCCCAGCGGAGTAACTGGCACTCAGTAGGTGCTCAAGAAATATCAATACTTGAATGACTTCTGAAGGCATCTTCTCCAGGGCAGCTGCCACGTTCAGTGTTTTGGTGTAAAAAACGGCTTACTTCTAGATGACTTCCCTGGACATACATACATAGATCAACACTTGGTTCAAAACACCTGCCCCACTTGGCAAAAACCCCACAGCCTCTGAGCCGTTCTGACCAAGGCAGGTTCTCAAACTTGGTATTGTAGTGGACTTTGTAGAAGAAACAGGTCTCTAAACCCCCTGGAACACATCAGGGAATCCTCAGTATGAGAAACTTGAGCTAAAGTTTTGTACTGTTAAACTGTCTTTCAATTGATCCTATGAAAAAGGTGTTTTAAGGTAAAATATGTTTTACTAAATTTTTTAGATTATAACCAAAATGAAAGTAGTAAATTTAAAAATTTTTATAAAACTTGTAGACCTAAGAAGAGATTCCAGACAGAGAAACTCTTAAGATTCCAGGGCCTTTTAGAGACAAGAGTTCCTGGATCTGCGTGAGGCCCCCTAAAAGGAACTGGTAACTCATGGTAGCTACCTTTTTTTTTCTTTTTAAACTGAGTTTTCTATATTGCAGGATTTAAAAAAAAATTTTTTTTTAATTTTTTGGCCACACTGTGTGGCATATGGGATCTTAGTTCCCTGACCAGGGATTGAACCTGCGCCCCCTGCATTGGAAGTGTGGAGTCCTAACCACTGGACTGCCAGAGAAGTTCCTGTATTGCAGGATTTTTCAGAAGATTAAATGAGAAACTTTTAGTCCAATCTGCCATGCAGAGCCATGCAATGTTCACGTCTTCCTTCCTTTCTCCACATTCAATGCACTGATCCACCTGGACCTACAATTTCTACAAATTTGTGTACTGTCTTTTTTCATTCCACTGTGCCTCAGTAGAAGGTCCCTCCAGCAATCTCACTTAGAAAACTACTTCCTACCCCGCAGGGCACCAAAAGGAAAGAGGCCAAGGTGAGATAGGATGGGACTTGGGGCAATTATGAACAATAAGATACAAAAACGCCACAAACCAACTGTCATTTCTGAGGTGCTGGGAGCAAAAGCAGGGTACTGGGCGTGCCCCCTGCACACAGCGCCACCAAGCAGGGGGGCAGACCTCCTAAGCCACCCCTGCTTCCCAACCCACCACTTCACCCCTACGCATTTAAGGGACCAGCTTGTCACCCTCCCCCACTTGGGGAGGGATCGAGGGCACCTGTTACTTGGTTTCGCTCCCTCGCGCTGCAGCATGAATCCCAGTGAAGTCTTGCCTGAATTTCTCGTCTGACCTCCTATCAATTTCTACTGATTAAAGAATCCAAGGACCCAGGTCGGTAACAAAGGCACTAAAATTGTGCAAGTTCAGTGGTTTTCAGATTCATGCTTTTGGAACCCTTAGTTCAAATGAAATCTCTCTCTTGAAACCCTGACATTTCCTGGGTACTGGCAATTCAGGGCTGGGGCAGACAAGCCCCTGCCCTCATGCCGTTCATGACCTGCTGGAGGAGAGCCAACCTTACATAAATACTGTAGGTGAGTGTGGCCACTGAAGAGGATCTGGGAAAGAGTTGCCCACTGCCAGGGCAGGTGGGCACAGTGGGAGACACAGCACGGGACACACCTTGTGTGCTGGGGGCTCCCAGGGCCCTCCTGTGTGAGGATGCTTGTTAAAAGTGCGAGTTTCCACCTCCCGGGATCGTGTTTCGGGAGGTCTGGAGTGGGCTCAGAAACCTGTGCGGCTTTAAATGCCCTGGTGCTTCTAACAGACACCACCAACACAGGGAATTCTTATTAGCTGAATCAGAGTATTTACATTTTATCCGGAGGTCAGGGGCTTTTAAACTTGGATCCGTGGTTCCTTTGATGGTTTCTGTAGACATGTCGTGTGCTATTGAATACGCTGTAATTTTGCACATTATACATTTATACTTTTCTAGGGAAGAGAATCGCCCCCCCATCCCATTTCCAAGGAAGAACTTCTTTCTCCTCATTCCTTCAGATGCAGACTTTACCATTCAGGTGTGCCTGTTGATGGTGCTGGGGAGAGCCCAGAACCTGTGTCAGGCAGAGGAATGAGATGGATTTAGAGACACAGGGCTGGGGGAGTTCATTTGCTTAGGAACTAGCGACACAGACCCCTAGTGCACCCTTTGGAAAGCCCTGAAAGGACGATGTATTTGGGGCTGAGCTGGAAGAATAAGAAGGAAAGGAGGCAGCTGCAGGGTCGCTCGCAGGTCTACCACCAGCCTTCCCCAGAGAACTGGAGGCCAGAACTGGAGGAGGCAGGAAGAAATGGCAGGTCTTTGAATTTCTCCACCTTCTTGGGCAGAGGGGCCTCCATGGGGATCCATGATGCCGGATTGTTTATCGCCAGTTGGGCCTCAGGGAACCAGAGGGAGCCTTACTCAGTGCCCTGAAGAGCTAATTAAGAATCACAATTAATTACTTTGTTGTATTCACAACAGAGGCTGAGGGATGAATTTCGTTCTTCCAGATCTAGAATCAGCTCCTCTCTGCCCCTCCATGCTCAGGCATTTGTCCAACAAGCAGATATCCAGACTGGACATGGGACTCTACCTCAGAGGGTCCCTTCTATACAGGCTCTCCTTCCAAAGCGTAGTAGCTAACGTCTGGAAGTTTCTGGGGATCTGGCTCTCATTCATTTATTCAAGCAGGATTTGTGGCCCCTACTATGAACTCAGACAAGTCTGAGATTTTTCATTTCATTTTTCCCAGCCAAATTTAAAGAGGACTTAATCAAGTGGCCAGCTGACAGATCACTTTTGATGATAAATCACCCTGCAATTTTGGGCACGCATCTCAGAAGGAATGCAGAGAATTGGACGACATCTCCTTATTTGTGTGAAAGGCTTCTCAGCATGTAGCGCTCTAAAAATGGAAAAAGAAAATGATGCTGAATCCTGATTCATCCCTAGATTCACAAATAATTAATTTCTTATCTGTTTCACTAAGATGTGTTTTCAGTATTTTCCTTTTTAGGTTTAACAATTACTTATAAAATTTTTAGTATCTATGTTGTTTTAATCAACTGTACCTTATATTTTACATCAAAAATTAGTTGTAATAACTCAATCCAGAAGACTTTCTAAAAAACTCTTAGCAACTTTGGTCGCAGGAAATTATTTCAATTCCGATTCCTAAATATATATTTGTGGCAGAGAAGTATATGATAAGGTGAGCGATAAAAAACTTGCAACGGTAAAAAGTGCTGCATTAGCAAAAACAATTCTGTAGGGGGAATGGAGTGAAAACATAGGTTCAAAGAGAAAAGGAACAACCTAGAATTTCCAACTGTTAAAGAAGAGCAGGTTGTGGGTTTTGTTTTTTTTGTTTTGAAATAGATGAGAGTATGAAATCACTCCTGCGTTTGGATTTCATAAGATGTACTTTAAAGGGTTGGGGCAGTTTTATTTTAAAATGTAAATATTTACCAAATGCCAGAAATCACATCCCTCACAAGTTTTAAAACTTATGTGAAAAATATTAGATGTCAACTTAAAAATGTGCAAAATGGGACACATAATTTCAAAAAAAATGGGGGAGGGGGCATACCTAGAGCAAAAGCCCTTTTGAACCCCAGCCTGATGGCTCCTCTGGCCCCTTGACTCCCACCTTCTCCTGGAGGGAAGGGTGGATGGAGGCCAGGATGGAGATGGCCCCGGTTGTGGCTCACGGAGACTGCAGTGTGGGGGAGGGGAGCTGCTCTACACTTCCCTCCAGATTCCAGAACAGGAACAGGCCATGCCCTGCTTGGGGAGCTGGGCCTCTCCTTCACGCTGAATTAAACTGCCTTCAGCTGGGGAGGAGGGGCAGCTATGGGCCTGGGCAAACGATAAGGGACAGACCTGCAGGCACAGGTGGAGAGGGAGAACCGGCCCCAGGCCAGGGCGAGAGTCTCTGCAAATGATGATGGACCCAGCCCACCGCCCCTGGCCCACAGCACGCCTTCAAACCTGAGGGGAGGCCGCGTTTCCACAGAGGCACAGTTTATTTCACAGACAGTGGAGATGTTGTTTCTGAAGGGGAGGCCGAAGCCCAGTCTCAGGTGTGGGCTGAGGGATTAGTTCCAGTCACCAAAGACGTACCTTGGTTTCTGCTATTCCTACCCTACTCCTTCTCCCAGCCTGTCGTCCCCCACGTGTCTCCTCCCCGTTTCGTCCTACACCCTGTATCTGGTTGGTCTAAGTGTGTACGGCTGCCCTGGCAACCTCTTCCTCCCCACCTGCCCCTCCCCAAGGCCCTGAATCGGTGGACTAGGCTGAGAAGAGGGCTCTCAGGAAAGGAGGCAGCATCCTTCCACGGGTCCGAGGGGCAGGAGGATGGGGTATAGGTGAGGCTTCTCTAAGTGAGAGTCCCAGGGACGAAGCCAGTGGAATGAATCTTACTCTAGCTGCTGTGCCTCCCAACTGCAGAGGGCGCCACAGAACTTAGGGGCAGAAGGCAGGGGGTGGGACCAACCATCACCCCGCCGCTGGTGGGAAGACCCTTGCCATGAGTGGGGCAAAGGAGCCCCAGGTCTGTCATGAACTAGCTGTGTGACTTGGGCAGGCCCTCCCTGGCTCTGGGCCTCAGTTTCCTCATCGGTGAACAGGGCGACAGTGAGGATCCAGCCAGAGAGGCTGGTGTGGGCAATGCCTGAAGCCCTGTGACCCGCTCTCTTCCGGGGGTTCCCGTGACTTCCCGGCTCAGCTCCCTCTCGCACTGAGACTTGGGGTCCAGCTGGCCCTGGTTCCTGAGAGCCCCTCGTGCTGCTGCATAGCCTCCCTCCTGCCGGCCTGGAGAGCTGGTCTCCCCCCTCCCTCTGCCCCCATCAGAGCCTGCGCAGCCAGGAGAACCCAGAGAAAGGTGCTGGAGGAGGGTGGAGAGGCTGTCCCGATGGTGGAGTGATGGGTGAGGTGAGGGTACTGAGGGTCATACAGCGGCCGTCTGCTTGATGCTGTGGAAGCTGACCCGCGTGGGTGACGTGGGGATGGACACGGCCCGGGCCCCAGGGACTCGGAGGGAGTGACGGTCCTGCCAGCGGTGCCACTTCTTCTTCACAGCCGAGCGCACCTGCGGGGTTAGGAGGCGGCTCAACTGGGCCTGTGGAGGCCAATCCTGGGTCCCGGCCGGTCCTCTCCCCTGCTCCCTGCCCCTTGCAGGGCCACCAAGGGAGGCTGGGGCGGCCCCCCTGACTGCCAGCCTCACATCCAGAGACCGGCTGTTCCCAAAAGCAGGGTCCTTCTCACCTCCTCTGCAGCCCTGACCTCCTCTACCTCCTGAAAGACCTGCCTCGCTCACCACAGCACGCAGCTGAGATGGAGAGCTAGTCATTTCAAGACCCGACCGTCACTGGTGCTGTTCTATTCTCATTTGTATTGCAATGGAAGAAGTTTTTCTGCAAACTGGATCATGTCCCCCACAGGCTAGCCTGGCACGTGGTTGAACAGAATAACTGTTCCGTAAGCATTGTTTGCTTGCTTTATGGCTCCTTCTCTCCCTGCCCTCCAGCACATGCCGGTCTCCACTGCTGGACTTTCCTATCTGGGGTCTGCTTTAACTGACAGAGACGCAGGCATGCAGACCCCACCATTGCCCTGTGCACGGGCAGGTGAAGAGGCCTCAGGATGGCACTGGCACTCCTCTGGGGTGTCTGGAAGCGCTCGGGCCCTGGGAGGGTGTCTGCTCTTTGCCCCAGCACCCACTGTGTGTCCTCACCCACCACAGGCCTGAGCGAACATCTCCCCCAAGTCCGCCGCGCTGGGATTCTGGGCCTTGTAAGCTAACCAAGTTTCACCAGAGCCTGGCTCCCTGGAGCCCACCCACAGGCGTGTGGCCTTCCCTGCGGCGGCAGGGGACAAGAAAGGACGCGCTGGTGTCTTTCTGCTCCCTGGGTCCATAAAGGCCTGGATGCATGGCTCACACCTGACTTGCTCCTGGAAAGCGCTCTCCTGTCATCACCTGTGTTCTGGCTTCCTTCTTCTGTGAGCCCCTGTGGCCTGGGCTCCTGCCCACCCAGCTCTCCGAGTGCAATGAGAGAGTCGATATATCGTTTCTGACCTGCAGAGTCAACCTTCTAAACTGGTTGGAGTCCCTCAGGCAGGATTCCTGTCTCCCCAAAGCTGGGTGGTTTCTCCAGACTTCCCCTCCCTTCTCCAGAGCAGAGCTGAGCAGAGCCAGGGATGCCCAAAAGGCTGGGGGGGCTCCCCTCGAACTTCCCTGGAGTGGGGTCTGAGGACAGGCCTCCTGGGCCTGGTGTCATACCTCTCCATTGAAGAAGCAGTAGAAGACGGACACAAAGAAACCCTGGGAAGGAAGAGGGAGACGTCAGTGACCTGCTCAGGGAGCCACTCTGCCTGGGGGGTCGGGGGGTGGAGAGGGGACAGGACGACTGGGGGAACACTCTGCCTCGGGACCCCGGAGGCTCAGAGCTGGGTAGGCACCCCCATCGTGGAGCAGGTGTACCGGGGTCCACTGCGAGTGACAGGCTGCCATGAGTCCTCAGAGCAGGGGCTGGGCTGGCAGGAGGTGCAGGCTAGGGTGACCCTGACCCAGTCAGGGGTGGGCCCACCTGGGCCCTGGGGTGGGAGTGACGGCACCAGGGCCTGGGTTCAGGATGTGCACGCGCTTGTATTTCAGTGCATACGAACTAAACCAAGCCAGCGAGGGCACGGGTGCCTGAGCACGCCAGGTCAGGGGCGCTCTCTGTGGCCGCATCCCACTACGTGCCCCACCTGGAATGACTGCAGGAAGGAGTTGAAATAGATGAACACGATCTGTGACAGCTCGTCCTCCCCAGGGCTGACGAAGAAGAGCATGTAGGTGACGCCCAGAAGGGGCAAGAGAACCAGGGTGGCCTTCACCGCCTTCCTGGGGAGGGGGGAAGGGTGACAAGACCCATCTGAGCCCCTGAGGCACGTGGGGCCTCACTCGCTGGCATCTCTTCTGGGAGCCTGAGCGAGGGCCCTGCCCAGAGGCAGGGGAATGGCCCAGATGGCCTCCTCATTCCTCCCCCGCTGAGGGTCAAGGCACCCATCACTCACCTGTACTGGATCGTCTCTGACGTGGTGGATGCTCGTAACTTCGTCATTAGGATCCTGACGATGTTGAACAGAAATACAAAATTGATCTGGAGGGACGGGGGCAGAGAGGGAAAAAGGAAGGACCGCGAGGTGGGGGTGAGAGGAGAGGCGACCACCTCCCCTGTAACCCACTGAGAATCCACCTCCCAACCCACTCACCCCAGCACCTGCCTGGGGTCCCAAGACCTCTGCTCCTCCCTCACGGGGGCAGGCAGGTACCCCACTTGCCGGGTCCCCTGTCACCTGAGGACTCCAGAGCCGGCTTCTCCACACCCTGACCCGAGGGAGGAAAAGCAGCCTTGGAGGCAGTGCACAAGGGCACAAAGGTCACTCCTTCCTGAAGCGCCCAGAGCTCTGCCCGGCCCGCCCCCGCTGCTGCAGGGCCCCCACTTGTCAACTGAGGGTCTCCCTGAGGCCCTTTGGACAGAGGACAGTCCTGCCCTGGTGGAGCAGACCCGGCCAGATGGAGTGATTAATAACTCGGTTGCTGGGAGGAGTGATTAATCTCTCACCATTCGTCCCCTGCACCCAGGAAAACTCTAGATTCTTCGCAGACACGCCTGAGGCAATGGAGATGAACAGGCTGCTGGGCTGACTCCAGCAGCTGGCTCCTGGAAGGGGCTCATTTATCTTCATTCTGAGCCTCCTCTCAGCATCGGAGCCTGCCACTCCCAGCATCTCCCCGGGACCTGCCCGTGTGGCCTCCCGGGGCAGCCCTGTGCTGCATGTGGTGGTCTCTGCGGGTGTGCAAGTGTCCCGTTAACCCGTGTCGGCTTGTCTGTGTGCCTGTGTGCTGCCTTCTCCATGCTCCCCGTGGGTCTGTGCTCTGTGCTTGTGCGTTTACCTTGGTGTGTTCCTGTGTGAGTGTGGACCTGGGGACATGGACACACCCGTGTCTCTCTTCATCCATCTCCAAGTGCGAGTAGACAGGAAAGTGAGTGTTGTATGCCTAACACCCTGGGGACCTCGCACAGGAAAGTACCCATGGGTCAGAAGGAGATACGTATTAGCCCAGGGGTGTCTGCTGGCTTGTGTGTGTGCACATGTCTGAGTGTGTGCGTGTGTTTATACACACACACCCCTCCCAAGTCCTGGTCCTGAGATTCCGTCATTTCTGGAGCCTCCTAAGCTCTGAGGCTTGGGGACACAGGCAGACATCACGGGACACACATCCCTGTGGCCTCTGGGTCACCCCTAAGCTTGAGGCTACTCTGGGGCCCTGGGGGGCTCCCTCCTCAGCCACGGCCTGCTGTTCCAGTGCCCACAGTAGCACAGCCTGGTGAACCCAGGGTGAGGGGTGGTGGAAGCGTTCAGCCAGGGCTGCCCATGGCCTGCTGCACCTTGCTTCCTCTTAAGGCCTGTCTAATTTCCAGCTCCTGGGTTTCTGGTCTATGCCCTTGGATCATGAGGTCACTTTAACACACAGGCCGATCCTAATTTTCTCATACAAGTGATACAAAATACTTGACCTTTTCCGATTCTTCATGACTTCCGTGAGAACAGAGGTTGTTGGAGTCAAAATATATTCTCATTTCTTCCACATTTCCCTGCATTAAATCTTATTCACTAATTGTCCATAAACCCACTAACCAATTCACTCAGTTATCCACCCACTCTTATCCACCTATCCCTCCATCCATTAATCCATCCAAATATTACTCAACCATCCATTCATTACTTTATCTACCCACCCTCCCACCCACTTATTTAACATGTAACATTCATCCATCCATCTAAATATCTACTCAACATTCCATTCATCAGTTTATCTACCCACCCACCCACTCACCCACTTATTCAACAGGTAACGTACATACATCCACTAACCATCCAACCACCCATCCATCTAGTCAATAGGCAATTGCTGAGCACCTCTGGGCTACAGGGCGCTGTTCCATGTGCTGAGGCAAGAGCAGGGACAGGGGCTGGTGTGGAGGGTCTGGGAGACAAGGCCTTATGCCCTCTGCTCACCCTAGGCAGGAGCTGGTGATGCTGCCTACACCCCACCTCAGGCTGGTCTGTGCAGCCCCAAAGTCACTCTTTCCTTTTGGGCTTGGTTCCCAGCTTCCCCCTTTAAAACATCTTCTCCACCTCACTTCACCGCAGGCACCTTCCTCCCTTCCCCAGGGAGCCGCTGACACCGCCCTCCCACCTGGTTTCCAAACCCTCCCTGTCTGCGCATGTGCAGAGGCGGGCAGGGAGGGAGGAAGGAGGACTGACAACTCTTCCTCCTTGGCTTCAGACACGGTTCCTCCTGTCCTTTAAACCCAGGCTGGGAGAGGTAGTCCCAGCCCTTGGGGGTGTCCTCTGCTCCCCTCCAGCTCTGGGTATTGGGGTGCTGCCATCACATCGCAGCTCCTTGTAGCGCACATTCACCAAGCCCAGCAACATAGCCAGCCTGCTTGTCCACCTGGATCTGTGGAGCCTAGTGAGTCTCAAAGGCCCAAGTCCTGAGTCCTACTGCGTTCAGGGCCCTGGCTGGGCCACAGAGAAAGCCCAGACAGCTCACATCCCTGCTCACAAGGCCCCGGGACACCAGGGTTCTCCCACTAGAGTATGCACATCAAAGGCGCTTGTTCCAAATGCCGCTCTTGGACACACCCCAGAGATTCCCAGTGGCAGGTGGAGGCCCTGGAATAGGGGCGGCCGGGATATTGCCGAGGAAGACACCACCCACGGAACAAAGAGGCAAGGCTTTCACTGGACAGACCTCACGTGCCACACACCATTCACCTGTAGCTGCAGGGGACAGTTCTCAGCTTGGGGCTTTCTCTGGTGCCAGGGGAGCTAGCTCAGCCTGAAAATGGGGAGAGGGTAGCTGGAAATGTGGGGATTCAAGGTCTCCAGGGCAACCTCCACTGATGGCGCATGAAGCATATGGGTAAGTAACCCTGCTTCCCGACCAGGGGTCAATTCTGAGACTCTTCTACGTGTTGCCCCATGGAAGCCTGCTTATCACTTAACCTTTATCGGTTTCCTCCCTTCCTTGTCCTCTACTCCCACCCCTCGTTGTGTTTCCTGGGACCACCTCCCACATGAACGCCTGGCGCCAAGTCCTTGTCGCATGGCTCTAATTCCAGCTATTCCAATTGGCATCTGCGTGGACTTGGGCAAATGACTTAATTAACGTTTCTGAGCTTCTGCTTCCTTGTCCGTCCAGTGGGAATAGCCGTGGAGCCCATCTGGGAAGGTTGGCACAGGTTCAAATACTCATGGAAAGCACTGAGCTCATGCCTTTCCCACGCCATCAACAGTGACAACAGCCTCCTGCAAACCCAACCAGCCAACTCACTTCCCAGAACCCAGAGATGAGCACGGGTCTCTCAGACAGCTGTGGACCGCTGGGGGAGGCCAGGGGTGGCAGGGTATCCAAAGGAAGGGATGGCGGGAGGTGGTGGGTAACCTGCCCTCCAGGCTCAGCTCAGCTAGCTATTAGTGATGACCTTGAGCAGCTGTTTCATCTCCCAGGTTCTTCATCTGTGAAACGGGGAGCATCATCCCTACTTCCAGGCATCGAGGATGTGAGGATTGGAAGTAATGAAGATAGAGCTTCTGGAAGGGCTGAGCTTGGAACCTGGAAGCCCTGTCCATGCATATAGCTGGGTGTGGGCCGGGTCCAAAGGGAAAGACAAGCACGGGGCTCTTGGTGAGGGTGGAACCGGAGAAGGGGGCATGGAGAGGAGGTGGGAGTTGGGTATTGTCACTGGGCCTTCCAAGCCTGTCCCCCTTCTCTGTTCATTTCCTCACTGCTGTCCAACATCTTTGCAGAGGGGGCTCTCTTCCCACCCAAGCCAGCCTTTCCGCTCACACTGGTGGAGGGGGGGAATCAGTGACTCATTGCAGCTAGGACTCCAAGGACAATGATTCCCCCTTCTGACTGCTGACAAGGACTGGCTTCTATCTCTGAAATGAATGGAGCCCTGAGGGTGGAATTTCAGGCAGTGGGTAAAAAACCTTCCTAGTCATCTCCGGTTCGTATATACATCAAGGACACTCCAAAGATGGGGGGTCAAATGAATCCCTGAGGAAATTACAAAAAGGAGGAGAGTAAGGAAATAAAAAGAGATAAACAGTCATTGTCTCCAAGGTAGACCAAAGAAGCCCCCATTAGGCACCTGCTGTGTGCAAGGGGGTGGTGCTCGCTCAAGCATCGGGCACTGGGAGCAGGTGGCCCTTTAAGGAGCCTGAAATTAACAAGCCTGAAATAAGTCTTACGTAAATGCCAGTTTCTTATGGGGCTTTTTTGTATGTCTATTTTTTTTAGCGTATGATATATAATGGGTTCTTTTCTTTTGCAGAATGCAGCCTCTACTTAAAGTCTACCTTAATTAAAGCTCGTTGTGGTTTAGATACCTGGCAGCAATTATACCTTAGATGTTAATACATTTGGCAAAGGGCGGGGAGCTGGATGAGGAATAATTGCTCGTTATGCTTCCTTTGTCCCACTGCCCCCAGGCTGGGGGCGGTGGGCTGGGCCCTGGAGGGGGTCGCTGCGGGTAGAGGGAGAGTAGGTCTGGGCTGAACAGAATCCCGCGGACCCTTCTCTTGCCACCAGCTGCCCTCCTTGCCTGGCTTGTACCTGGCAAGGGGATGTCAGATGTCGGAGGCATTAGAAATCTGCCAGTCGGCTTTTCTCTGCCCAGAACCTGAGGGCCAGAGAGGGGAGAGGGCTGCATCAGGGCGTGGAGTGCGAGGAAGGGAGAGCTGGGAGCAGGATGCCAGGCAGCGGGGTGGTGCGTACAGAGTGTGTGCGGGGGGGCCGATCCAGACCCTGTCTCTCCCCAGCATCTCTGCTGGGTGGGTCCTCTGCTGTCCTCCTGGTGCCCAGCCCTGTCCCACTTCCCACTGAGGACCTACCAAGAGCACGAGGATGATGGGGCCCTGGTAGATGTAGTCCACCAGGTCGCCGGGCTCCTTGCCAAACCAGCACCTGCAAAGATGGAGTGGCTGTAAGTGGCCTGCTGAACCACAGCCTGGGGACCACTGCAGCCTCGGGGCCAGGGTCCTCTGTCTTGACTCTTTCTGAGATCCAATCTCCATGGCTCTTCCTTCCCCCGAAGCCTGGGTGGACAGCCCCAGCCCCACTGACCACCCTGGCTCATACCTGGGCTGCCTTTTGCCCTACATGGAGGGTCTGGTCTCCCCAGGCAGACTGAGGCAGGCCCTGGGTCTCCTCCCCCTTCTCCTTGCTCCCTCACCCCATCCCAGGATGCTGGGCCCAGGGCTGGACATGCAGGAGGCCCATGAAAGGAGAGCTGGGCTCCCCGTCGCTGGCCAGGGCCCAACTGCCTGTACCACCTGTTCCCGCATTGCTTGGAACCCGCCTCTCCTTGTGCCAGGCACTCAGACGCACAAAGCAGCAGACGTGGAGGCGGGAGCCTTCTCCTAGCCCGATCCCTGGCCTCATTCACCCAGGGAAGGAAGCTTGCTCCTGTTAGAGGCTTGGTTATTCTTTGGGGATGCTAGGGGTGAAGAAGCTTCAGGGTCTGGATGGAGGAAGGGCTGGCCCAGGACCCAGTCTGGCTCTGCCAGCAACTCCTACTGGACCTCAGAAAGGGCCCCACAGAGTTCAGGAAATTCTGTGTCTTCTGCAACTTCAGAGGTCATCCAGTGCACATTGCCTCAGGCAGGATTCTCCCCTGCAGCCTCCCAGCACTGTTTTTTTACTTTTCTTTGCTTAAACACCCCCTTTGATGGGAAGCTCACTACCTCTCAAGGCAGCCCTCTCACTCTTGGGCAGCTTTTATCGTTAGGAGCTCTTCCTAATGCTGAGCTCTCAGAACCCACGCCATTCCTACCCCCTGCCCCCAGATCCCATCTGCTCCCTCCATCCTCAGAGACCCCTTGAATATTTGTATACAGATACTGACGTTCCTCTGTCCCCTCTTTTCTCAGCTGGTGGCACCCAACTTCCCCGCCGTTCCCTGGCTGACCTGCAGCCAGAATTGCCATCATCTGGGCTGAGACTGAGTATTTCAAAGTCTCTGGTGCAGAGAGGGTCCCAGCACAGAACACTGCACCCCAGGAAGAGACTGGGACGCCAGAATAAAACAAGCTTCCACTGGCCTGGCCCGGGCATCTGTGAGGGGCTCCGTACCACAGCTGAAGGTGCTCTGAGCTGAAAGCCTGGAGCCAGACTTGCCACACCCAACTCCAGGAGGCCGCCTTACCAAAGGCTAAGGGGGTCGTGCGTTGGGTGCTTAAAGGAACGATTCCTAACTCAATTCAACAAAGTTGACTTGACACCTATCGCATGAGTACCTCTGGGTGCCAAGGAAATGTTCTCAATTTAAGGACAATGGAAAAGTGAACTGTCCTGGCGTGGCTGCAATTCTTGCCCCGTGGCTGACCTGTCCTAACATCCCTCTGAGCCCCATGGCTGGCCTGTCCTTACTTACTGTTCATTCTCATAGTAGAGTTTGCCAATGGCCCAGGCGATGATGATGGGGCAGGGGATGCCTGAAAGAAGGACAGACACAGCTGCAGTGGACAGACAGATGGTCAGGAGCCCCTCTCGTAGAACACAGTGTGGGGAGGAACCACAAAGCGCTAGGATCTTGTTTGCAATCATCTAACTGCAGGCCATCCATGACCTTGAGGGGCCCTGTCCCTAGACCCCTGCCCCCATCCCTCCCTCCCTCTCAGTCATCCCCTCCAAGCAGGTCAGAGAGATGAGGGGACAGCGTGATTTTCTGAGATTTTTTGATAGAGAAGTGGAGCTGGCCAGCTTTTCTTTTGAAGCCAGAGACAAAGGTCTTTGGATTGGCCATTCCAGGCAAGAAGAGGAAGGCTATTTGTGGACTGTCCTTTCAGAGGGACTATTTGCTTCTTCCTCTCCAGCATGGAGGGGAGTGGCTGCATCCTCGGACTGTCCTGGGGATGGTAGACAGGAATGTGATCCGGTCCTTGGACCCAAGATGAAGGGAGGTGACCCTGTCAGCAGTACCCTCTTCCCACTAGACCCTGCAGGTCCCCCCAGGACCCTCACACCATCCAATGAAGAGGAAGAGCCGCTTGCGCAGGCGATCGGTGGAGTAGGTCATGACGATGGCCGTGTGCAGGTAGCAGCCCTCCACGAACATCCAGAAGAAGTTAGTCACCACGAAGTAGTTGAAGCTGGTGGTGATGCAGCGGCACCAGACCTGCGCGGGGCAGGCAGCAGTCAGTGGCTGCCTGGGGCCCAGGCCCAAGTGCACAGCTTGGGCGCTGATGGAGGGGAGGTCGTTTGAGTTGAGTCATGGACATGGCATTAAACACCCTTGAACCTCATTCTGGGAAGCTTCATCCTTTCTCTTCCACATTTTCCAGAAAGTGCCAGCCTCCCCTGGTACCAGGGGGTCTGACTTCTCACCAGTGTTTTCTAATCTCCTTTTTCATAAAAGAAAGAGGGAGTCTGACTCTGAGATCTTTGCAGGGAGAGGCTAGAACTGAACAGCACTGTCGTGTTTCACCGTCACTTTTTTTTGAGGGTCACCTTCACTTCACAGCGAGTCAGACTGGTTTCCGTTTCGGGATGGACTATGAAATTTCATGTAGAAAAAAAATAGCGAGTCAATTAGAAGAAAATTGTTATTGAACTAGTACAGGGTCTGTGAAGGTGAGCTGCAGCGGTGGAGGTGACCCTCCCAAATCTCTGGGTTTAGGAGATTCTGGGCTTAGTGTCATCTCTGCCGTCTCCGGAGGGAGACTTCCTTACACCGGGACCTCGGGCAACTGGCCATACCTCTCTGAACCTCATCGTGCTGCAGAGAAAAGAATAATCCCATCTTGCAGGTTGGTTCAAGAAGATGGAGGTGGCAAAGGCAGGCGCCAAGAAATGAATGTTGGTGCCATTTGCCTTCTCAGCGGAAGGGAATTTGTCCCTGTCCCTCTGAGCACGGTTACTACCCCTCCCTCGGGGGACAAGCCTGCCCAGAGCCACCTTGGGCCACGGCCAGGTCTGGCCTCAGGCCAGAGCTCTTCTCAACTGACCCTACCTGGCCATCTTCCCCAGGGATTCGTCACCAGGGCACCCTCAGAGCTGAGGATGTGGGGATTGGTGGTTAGAGGAGCCCTGTGATGGGGAGCTGACTGTCCTCTTGGACAGCTCAGCGCCTCTCTGTCCGGCTCTAACAGCCGGGCTGTCAGACGATCAATCAGCTGAGCTGATCACAGCCAGTGACTTTCCTCCATGGTCCCAGCCCTGATCTCGGGCCCCATGCGGCCACCTGTCTCCTCTGTTCTGAGAAAGTCCTGCTGAGGCGGAATGCGAAAGATCCCCTCCTCCCAATCTTGTTTTTCCTCCGAGTTAATGATGCCTTGTCAGTACAAGCCAACATGGGGCTGCAGGGCACCCCAAACTGACTGAATTCCACTGGTGCTGAGGCAGGGCTCAGCATGGGGCCAAGTGAGGCGTCAAGCCAGGCTGGGTGTGTGCTCAGGTCTAGCCATCCAGAGACGATGTATTGCGCAGTCTCTAACGGTGGGCCAAAGAGCTCCGCGCACGGCTCCATGCTGGGCTCTGGTTTTACGACGTGGACACAGTACTACAGTGGTTGACACAAATCCACCGTGGGCAGCTAACGTGCTGGCTGCTCAAGGTCCTGGTGGCCCAGATGTAGAGGCATCATTACAGTGTCATCTAACCTCCCCGAGCCTCAGTTTCCATGTCTGTATAATGGGGGCGAAATCCCTACAGGTCTCTCATTGGAATGAATTGCTCTAAAGCTCAATAGAGGTTAATTTCAGCCTCCTTTTCTCTAAGGAATCTCTGGGAGGTGCTAAAGTCACAAGACGGGGATAACCCAAAGCCTGCTGTCAGGTCTGTGCTGCTCCCCAGACCCCGGCCTGGAGCCCCATTCCCCTACCCCTGGCTCTGGAGGGACAATGAATGGGTGCAGGTGAGCTCAGGTTCGGGTCTGCACGCGAGGACTGGGCAAGAGAGATGGGGGCCCCCAGAGCCCAGAGTCCCCCAGGTCCGGCCCCAAACCTCTACCCAGAGACCTCATTGCTCTCATGCACTTCGTGGTCGATGAGCTGCAGCAGGAACCACGTGACATTTCGCAGGATGAATGTGGTGATGAGATTCCAGTGAATCACGTTCCGCAGACAGCGGATGCTCCTGCGGGACGACCGGGGCAGGGATCAGCCGGGACAGGCTGCACCTGGGCTCAGAGCTCAGCTGGGGCGGGGGGCAGGGGGCAGCTGGCGTCATGGGGCAGCTGGGCCTGCGCCCCCTGCCACCCCCTCCTCAGGCAAGGGAGAGACTCAGCCTGGGGTGAAGGCAGGGCTGCACCAGGAACCAAATTCCCATTCGCGGTGACCACGGTTGGGTCTTCCAGAGCTGGTTCCCTTTTTGCCTCCTGCATGCCCGCCAGCGGTCAGTGCCCAGGCACCTCCCCAAGCCCCTTTTGTCCGTTGGCTCCAGGGACCCCAGAGAGGAGCTAAGAATGGGTGAGGTGAAGGGGTGCCGTGGGAGGAGGGCAGAGAAAAAGCAGGGGCAGGGTGGACTCACCGCAGGGCCAGGAAAAGCAGGAAGGCAGCCACGAGGGCTGCCACAGACACGCAGTGGCCCAGGTAGTTGATAATGAGCGCGACGCGGTAGTGCAGGTCATACTTCCTCTGCTGGACACACAGACAGACACACGGGCAGACAGAGGCTTGGGGCATGTGGAGGGTGGGGCCAGGCACTCTAGCAATGGCCACCCTGTGCGTCCTGACCCTGGGGGCAGAAGAGGCTCCAAGTGTCACCACCACACCTGGCACCCAGAGCTCTCTCCTGTCGGCCCTGCGTGGCTCTTGGTATAAATGGCTGTGGTCAGGTGTCCCCTGTGCAGTTGGAGGGCAGATCTGAGCACAGTGTATTCTGAGTTATGCCAGAGATATGGGCATGTAGATCCTATTTTCTTTTTAATTCTGGAATGGGAGTTGCTACACCTGTGTTTCATCTCAGCTCACACCCTAATGGGCTGAGCAACTGAGGGTGTATTGATTTATATCTCTGGGACTCAGTTTTGATATCTGTACAATGGAGCCAACCTGTCCTCCTGTCTCAGAAGCAGCGACCTATGGCAGGTCTGGGGGTGCCTTGGGATCAGTCTGCCCGGGGTGCAGCAGTGAGGGGGTACCTTATCTGTAGAGATTTTAAGAGCAATATTAAGACCAAATAAAATCAGTCTGCTTTTTATTATCACCACGTGCTGGCAATTCTGAACAGAGGCAACGATAAAATACTCCTTCCTGCCAGGGCAGACTATCCCGCCACCCCACACCGCTTTGGTTTGCCACTGCTCAGAGGGGCTGTGAGACGAAGAGGTGACGGCAGAGGGCAGGAGGGGACCTCTTTCTCTCCTTTATGGCCCATCCCACTTGTCACTCTTGTGGCCCTCACTGCAGACCCCTTTGGCTCGCATTTTGTAGAATCACTTTCTCAGGGCAGACAAATGTTTTTCCTCTGAACTTGGACTTCTTTTGGGGAAAAGTTTCAGCCCCACTGGGGGCCGTAATGGGCAAAGGAGGAGAGGGATGGGGTGGGATGTATCATTTGGGGTCAGGAACGAGGCGAAGCTTCAAGAGGAAGGAGGCTGGCACCGCAGATAACACGGAATCCAGCACCAGAGCAAGGGGGGCTGGTGAGGTCGGAGTGGGACCCAGCTTCCCGTGGGGACTGCCCTTCTGGGGGCTGCACTTGTTTCCACGTGGAGTCATAGAATCAGAATGCCACACGGGGAAACTGAGGCCCAGAGGAGGAAGGAAGTCACACTGCCTGTTAGATGTCGGGGCACTGGTTACAGGGTCATCCCCGTCTCGTGCCATGTGCCACCTTGCTGGTGTCCTCCACCAGCTGAGCTCTCCTGAAGGTGAGCCTCTACGTCCCCTTCTCACAGGGCAGGGGGCATAGAGTGATGGTAAGAGGTGCAAGAAAGGGGTGGGTGGGTGACACAGGACTGGTTCTGCCACCCTTGGCATCCTCTGTGCTCTGAGTCCTACTACCTGTACCGGACCAGGGGTGAGGCAGGTGGGAGTCACTCACCTTATCGTCCAAAATGGGCTGACACTGTGAGTAGTTGATCCGTGAGGCCCAGGTCCCATTCTCCAAGCACTCTCGGTAGGCATTCCCTACAAAATGCACCAAGAGGCGGGTCACTCCCCTCCTCAAGAACACTCCCTGGCTCCCTAGTGCCCACAGGATAAGGTCCCTATGTCTCAGCCTCTCTAGGCCGGGAAACACATCTGAACGTTCACGTGAAAGTCATTCATGTGAAAAGTGCACAAAAGCCTTACCACTCATGGTAGCTAAAAGGCATGATAAAACCCATTTCTGATACAATTTTTTGTGTGTGTGTTTTTTTTTCCGGACGCGCAGGCTCAGCGGCCATGGCTCACGGGCCCAGCCGCTCCGCGGCATGTGGGATCTTCCCTGATCGGGGCACGAACCCGTGTCCCCTGCATCGGCAGGCAGAACTCTCAACCACTGCGCCACCAGGGAAGCCCTCTGATACAATTTTTGACTAGCATTTTGTACACTCGCTGTAATTTTGTTTGAAACTGAACCCCACTGTGAGCCCTGGGATGTGGCTGAAGATTCACTGCTTTCAGCATGCCGAAGAGTTTCCATCCTAATCGCAATCATTTTATGCTCCTGAGATCCATACTTTTCCCACCAGTATCAGCACTTCCACTTTCACCATAGTCACTATTTCTACAGCAGGTGTTTGCCCTGTACCAGGTCCTCTTCTAACTGCTTTGTTCACACTCGTCCATTCAATCCTCAGGCAACCCCATGGCGTAGGTACTGAGATTAACCCATTTTACAGATGAGAAAACTGAGGCACAGGGAGATCAAGCAGCTTGCCAAGGATACAAAGATGAGAAGATTCAAACCCAGAAGCTCTGGCTTCAGGGTTTATGTTCCTAACCCCTAGGCTACTTAGTGGTACAGGAATGACAGCAATATGGGGAAACAGGACTGCGCTGCTGACCTTGAGCTGCGGCTGCCTGGGAGACCACCATGTGATCTCTAAATGTTTGAGAACCTGGCTCTGTGTTAAAGTTGGAATGTGATGTGGGCAAAGACATTTCAGAGCATCAGTGTCTGATGTACTGAAGTGAGGGTTTTATTGAAGGGAGACGTATGAAGTTCAAGGAATGCGCATATTTTCTTTAAATCCTAGTTTGACTGTCAAGATCTAGCTCCTAAGGCACGCTCTCCAGGTAGCCCATTGTCACTTCCATCCAGAGAAATGCCTCACACCTGATAACTCCAAAGCCCTCTGCCAGCCTCTGCTCTGCATTTCGCTGTCTTATGTACCCTACCTCCCCTGCTTACTTACAAATTCTAAACGATCTATTGTTTGGGGATAATTTGTACCAGCGTTCTGCTCTCTGGCTAATGGGCAGTTGTTTGTGGATTTTTCTTTTTGGCTTACGTTAGAATCACAATATAAAGCTAATTTTCAAAAAACAGCTCACAGAGCACAGAGTCACAGAGCTGAAGGGGAAACCTTAGATTGTTTTTGGAAGCAATGAGTTCTGAAATAATTAAGTTACTTTAAAAATCCACTTCCGCTGAGCTAACAGTGAGTTAAAAGCAATGGAGTTACGAAGGAGCACTTGCTGAAGAGCAGAAACAATGGGGGAGATTCTATCAGCCTAATTGTTTTTTAATTTGGTGCTCTGAGCTTATAGATTTTTCAAATTCGGGATTTTTACTGGCCTATTCCTGCCTCCTGGGCCTGTCACCTGTCAGCGAGGCCTGCCTCGGGCAGGTCCCTGGCCCAAGTGTGAGTCAGTCAGGCCAATGCTGGTCTGACACCGACTCTGACCCCAATATGAGGACACTAGCTCCTAGCCCCTGACCATGGCACCCAATTCCCCACTTGGGTTTTCTCCCTCTACAGGATTGTTTTACTACAGGTTGTGTGTTAAGAGAAAGAAAGAAAGGTTGTATGTTAAGAGAATTTGATGCATAGGGTCAGTTATGTTACTGACCTAAAGGACAGAGTATGGGGTGAAACCAACGGGACCAATGTAAAGGCGTTTTGGGATGGTGGGTGATTTTGTAAAATGAACAGTCCCTCCCTAATGGGGATTTAGAGTCCTTCTCAACAGGCCTGCGTGAGGTGAGACAGACCCTGATCCTGGCTATGGTTCAAAGGGCAGAAAAATTTATCTTCTGTGAATGTGTTCCTAGATGTCATCTAGCTTTTCTGAAGTCAGTGCTAAGCTCCTTCCTCCAGGAAGGCCTCTTTGATTGCTTGCATCTCACAAGTCTCTTTCACCTGAGCCTCCCAACACCCCCAACCCTCTCAGTCCTGACAGCCTGAGCCCCACATTCCAGCCCTTGCTCATGACCTGGCCTCAGTTGTTCAGGTGGGTGAGTCTGGTGTCTCAGTGTAGGGCTCCCTGAGGACAAGACCTCAGAATACTCATCTCCCAAGTATGATACCTTGTGGTGGTACCGACCACGGGGCGGGCTTGCGGAAAGGAGGGGGTCAGGATAGAGATGCTGCACATCTGAGACCTTTCTGGTCCCTCACATCAATGCCCCTGGGGTACCAAGCTCCGTGGATTCTGTCTCCTCTTTCTTTTTCCGGAGTCCATCCCTCTCCTGCCCACCCTTCCACCCACTCTCTAGTCACCTTGCACTGGCACAACACCCTCCTATCTTGCCTCCTGGCTTCATCTCTTGCCCCCCTCGACTCTCTATCCTTTACCCCCACTGCCAGAGCGATCATGCTGATTTCTGAATAAAAGTCATCAGCAGCTTTTTATTGCTCTTGGGAATAAAGTCCAACTTTCTTGGCGTGCTATTCAAGGCCCTTGACCCGGGCCCCAGCCGAAATTTCCTGACGCATCTCTGTGGCAGCTGGCATTTACACCAGCAGGCCTGGCACACACCGAGCTCCATACCGAGCCACCCCTTGAGACACCCTCCGCACTCTCACCCTTTACGCATGCACATATCCCTACAAACTCCTACTTACCTTTTAACCCCCAGCACTAATGCCACCTCCTCCTGGAGGCTTCCCCAACACCCAACGTATTCCGTAATCTCTTCTTTTTCTCTAAACACCTCCTCTATGTCTTCCCATCTCTTGAAACATAGGTCTTCACACTCTATTGCCCTTGAACTACAGCCACATATCCATTTCATGTCACAGTCCAGTACACACGCACACACACACTGCTCACGTGACTGAATCCAGTTTCAAAGTGAAATTTATCTTGACCACAGCTATCATATTTTTCTTTCTATTACATTCTAATGAATTATATTTATTCTATATACAAATACTAGTCACAACCCACTACATTTACTTCACAACCCACTATCGTACAACATAGTTTGAAAAAGAAAAATCTCTTTTAGAGCATTTGCCGTAATTCACTATGAGTCTCATCTCTTTAGAATTGATCCTTCTTTTCTTTGCTACTGAACTTGAGCTCCCTGGGGACAGACAAGTAGGAAGAAACCATATTGGAGTCAACAGTTCCCTCCTCAGGAGTGAGCCATTGAGTATACGTGGGCTGAATCAAATTGACTCAGGTCTGTTGAAACCCTGGAAGGTAGGGTCTGAGATGTGGGATGTAGTGGTGGGAGGGAGCTTCCCTCTGGGGGCCCAGCCATGCCTGGGAATGAGGCTCTGGCTATAGACATTGGGTACCAGGGGACTGGAAGAGAGACGTTCCCAGCACTTCAGGGGAGCTGGCTAATGAGGACACTGCGCCCTCAGGCACAGCCTTGGACAGGAGAAAGTAAGACAGGAAGAGTCCCCCCTGGGACCCACAGGAAGATGCGCACGGGGAGTCTGAGGGCAGATGGTCAGGCCAGAATTGTGGGGATGGATGTAGTGAGGTGGGTGCCTGTTACCACAGCAACGCAGGTGCCTCCACTGAATATCGATGCCAATGGTGTGCAGTGTAGTCTGCCAGGGGCATTAGGGTCTGGGTGATGCAGGCAAGGTCTTCTCTTCCAGAGCTCTGTGGTCTGGGAAGCCTGCACTCTCCTGCAGCGTGCCCTGGCCTGTTGAAAGCCCTCATTACAATGTGCTCTGTCCCTTTCAGATGCTGACACTTTGACAAGAGCTTCTGATTTGGGCAGTCACCTGAGAGGTCCAGGAGCCTGGCTGGGAGAAGATGGAAGCCGAAATTCTAGCTGTAATTTTGTCTCTGGCTGATTAAGTGACCTTGGCTAAGTCCCGTCCCTCTCAGCCCCACTTTCCCCACTCATAAAAAGGAATGTAAACTGCTTCTCCGTGATGCTACTGGCATCTCAGGTGGGTCAAGTATTCGTTGTGTGGACCTAGCTATCTCCTTCCTGTCTGGCTTCCTTTTCAATCTGCTAACTGCCAGTAGTGCCCTCAAGCCACTGTGACAACCCCAGACACCCATACATCACTTTTAAGCGCTCCCGAGGTTAGCACTTCTATCTCTGATAGTCGAACTGGCAATATATGGGAGATGGGGACCATGAGGGACCCCATTTTTTGGGGTGGTTATGAGGGAGAGAGTGCCAGAGACAGGCTGGGCATAGGGATGAGTGGGAATATGGTGGAGAAGCAATGTCGTCATTGGCTGTCGGGAAAGAAGATGACAAGAAGTGAGGGTGGGAGGGTGCTGACAGGGTGATGGGAAGGGCCAGAAGCAATATTTACCGAAGGGATGAGGTCATGTGCAGGACTGAAATTTTCAGCACCACGGACAGCAAAATGCTACCACTGCCCATTTCCCACCATGAACGCAGGTGGGGAACCTTGGAGAGCGCCTAAGACTTACCCCTCCCCGCTCTGCCCATTCAGCCCATAGCCCTGGGCCCAGGCCAAGAAGGTCAAGATAATCCATGACCCTCTTCAATGCCCAGCTTCAGTCCTAGTACCTCCAGGTGCTTCCACGACTGCTCCAGCCCCTGGAGGGTCAGCTGCTCACTTCCCTTAGCTCATGCTCGGTCGGTATTTTTCTCTCATTGATTTCTGTAAAGGGGTCATGCCTTCCCAGCTAGCTAAGGAGTAGGGGTGGCAAGGCCTAGGTCACCTCTGGCCCTTTCTTAAGGGCTACACAGAGCCGCGCACACAGGGGCTCAGGATGGACCGAGGTGGTGCTGTTGTCTAGGCTACCGG